ATACCTTTTAGTGAGAGTAAAAGTAACTTATGCAGTAAAAACAGCAAGCACACTAAAACTTGCAGAAAGAAAAAGAAGAGGTTTTGTACGTTCATGGCTTTCCTTAATAGAAGAGACAACTATTCTATATCCTCTAGAAGCTCCTACGTTTTCTAATGATGAAAAAACAAAATACAAATCTATTTGGTACACTATATAAAAAAGAACTTGTCACCATAGTAGACATATAAAAATGCTACTATAAATTCAATTCGGCACAGACTAAACTTGAATGAAGATGAATATATTAAAGCCCTTTGGGCATCTGTTACTTCTTTAAGGGAGCTACCATTTGATTTTTAGGGGGGGGGGGGGGGGGGGGGGGGGGGGGGGGGGGGGGGGGGGGGGGGGGGGGGGGCTAGGATGAAATTTGAAAAAAATAGGCAGGACAGGAGTTTTGAGTAAAAAAAAGGCAGGATGAGATTATTTGCACAAAAAAAAAGGCAGGATGACAATTTATGTAAAAAAAAAGTCAGGATAAACTAAAAAAAAAGGCAGGACCAAATAGAGTGAAAAATAAAAAGGCAGGACCGAATAGAGGGAAAAATAAAAAGGCAGGACAAAATTTTTCATCCTAGCCCACCCCCCCCCCCCCCCCCCCCCCCCCCCCCCATAAAAATCAAATGGTAGCTCCCTTACAGCTTTCTTTAAACGCTTAATTATTGCATTAATTATTAGAGCGTCCCCGAGACTGATGAAAGTAGACATGTTTAATCTTATCTGTGTGGTTTGCAGTGTGTAAACACATGATTATTATCAATCTTATCTGTGTGGTTTGCAGTGTGTAAACATATGATTATTATCAATCTTATCTTTGTGGTTTGCAGTGTGTAAACACATGATTATTATCAATCTTATCTGAGTGGTTTGCAGTGTGTAAACACATGATTATTATCAATCTTATCGGTGTGGTTTGCAGTGTGTAAACATATGATTATTATCAATCTTATCTGTGTGGTTTGCAGTGTGTAAACACATGATTATTATCAATCTTATCTGAGTGGTTTGCAGTGTGTAAACACATGATTATTATCAATCTTATCTGTGTGGTTTGCAGTGTGTAAACACATGATTATTTTTATGACAGCAGGGAGAGCCAAACAGTTGTTCAATATATCCAAGATGACAATGCCTATGCTACATACGTTGCTTTATATAATAAGAAGTCACAAAGGAATGAACGATCATTTATAAAAAAAATATTTATTGCAGAGGCCACAAACTGAAACTAGTCAGTTAAAAAACAGATGGCCATCCATTCTGAAATGCTACCGATGTAGGAGCCCATGAAGAAGTGTATATATGATTACAACTTTATCCATGAAAAAGGCAGTGTTCTAGATGCATTGAAAGATGACGATAAGAATATAGCATGCATGACGTTTCTGCGATATACCACCATCTATAGAGCTGGTGACATTAGATGAGGTTGCTGCCTATTATGATGACTCACATAGAAGACTTAGTAGTATCCAAGAAAGGTAAATAAAAACTTTACTACATGAACCAGACATTGAACAAAATGACGATGACTGTCGAATAGGGGTTTAGGTAATAAATGAAACAGGACCTTACAAAGAAAGTTTTAAAATTGCATTTCTTTCCGTGCATTTTGGTGGCAAAGCTATTTCTGAGAAATGTAGAAGAGTTTTCTGCATGAAGATGGAGATGCTTTGAAAAGATCTTGCAAGTCTTTCTATGGAAGATACAACGAAAGCGAGAAATAAATTATTGCAAAACTCATACTATTTATAGATTTCTTAGTAGATGAGCAGGAGTAGAAAAGAGCTATGTGACACAAGGCCAACGAGTTTTCAACAGGCAGGCAGGTTAATGAAAATTCTACCAACATAATCATGGTTATTGTCCTTACTGACAGACCAGCTCATTACATTTACGACAATTCCATTCACAGTGCATTGAAAATTTTCAGCAAATCAAAGATTGCAGTAAAAACTGTTGTCATAAAGTGTCCTAAATGCACTACGTTACAAGAAAGATCAATGTTAGGGTATTTAAAAATATGCTGATTTTTTTTTCTACAAGCGTCTTTTGGAAGTCACACTAAAAATAGCTTTTCGGTGGAATCTCAGTAATTGCTGTTTACAATATGTTTTATTTAAAACTTGTCATTAACCATGTTAACAATTACATATTCACTCATCTATACTGGATACAAACTATTAGGCACAAACGTTTGGAAGGAGAACATAGCAATGTTTTAATGAAATCATAAGATATTTTCACAACATATCCATAGGATACTTTACATTTTTTCTCAATAATGAAAAGGTAAAGGCTTTCAGTACAGGAATCATTCAAAGAAAAAGTAATTATATACATGTTGTTTTACCAATGACACATATGTTGCTTCTAGTTCTTCCAATTAAAGGTATTAGACAGCTTCGGAAACGTACAAAACAATTACACAATGCGCTTGAAGATGCTTAAATAACTGTAAATGCATATACGGCATTTGGATTAATTATTGGAGCGTCCCGGAGACTGATGAAAATATACGTCTATATGGTTTGCAGTGGGTAAACTAAAGCAAAAGGTACCTTTATAAGCAAAATAGATGAATTTGTGACAAAACTATATTATTCATAAGGACTTTAATGTTGGTTGGACTCAAATATCATCCAAACAACAGTAGCTTTCAACTTTCATGAGTCATGTGATTACACATCTAAAACATGCGCTAAAGGTGAATGACTCAACAAATGACTACAATTTTACGATAGACCATATTTTCACAGTTTTGAAAGTGGAACGCTTGATTCGTACTATTAGTCTGTCCACAAAGTAGTGTGGATTTCATCACATGTAAAATAACTTCCCCGAATGGATTTCTTATCAGTTGATAGTTCTATCTTTGAACTAAACAGTAAATCCTGTCGAGAATTATATTTTGGCATTGTACAAGATCGTGCTTATCTCAGACTGTTACACTAAATCCGTTGACTGTGTACTGGTTGATATTTTAGTCTTGGAAATCATGGTTTATTTATTACTTGAAATTGTCTAGGAACTAGCTTACAGTATCTGTAAGTACTCTAATAATGGTACCTTGTGTTGTTTTCTTCGTCTTTTGATTCTTGTTTTATGTAATAAGTGTCGACCAGATACACAAGCCTTTTTCAACTGATTTTTACATTTTATTCTTATATTTTGCTGTTACAAGGTTGGCGCTTACAAACTGTGACGTGCAAAGCCGCCACATTCTGCATGTACCTGTCCTAAGTCAAGAGCCTGTAATTTAGTGATTGTTGTTGGTTCCTGTCTGCTTTAATTTATTTTCGTGTATAGTTATAGCACTGTTTGTCTCATTATTGTAATGAAATTAATTGATCAGGATTAATAGAAAACTAAATGAAAGCATGAAATTCGTATATTGCAAACAATATTGTAAATATTGATTCTACTACACCCGTTCAATTAGATATTTATCGAAATATGGTCGTTACTGATTTTTGACGTTTTTTTACTTAAAAATGCCAGTTCCAGCGAGCATTCTAAAAATCAAAAACATATAAATATAAATATTGTCGTCAACTGGTACTGTAAACCTAATTATTAAATGGGAACAGTCAAATACAATGTTAAGAATTGATATTGCAGGAAAATGTACGAGACAAATTTTAGTAACCGTGTAATTTATTGAAATGTATCGAACTGGTCGGAACCAGTTCATATGCATTCAGGGGTATAGAAATAGTTTCATCAGATTTACTTGACAATGGTGCATGCAATTAATTATTTATCAAGTATCTCCTTATTTCTAATAGGATGTTAATTTCCATGTAAAGATTTTACAGTGCTGTACGCCCAGATAGATTTTAAAGATAAAGACTATGAATAATTATTGAGTAGTAGATTGAAAGTTCGACGTCATTCAGGACCTCATCAAAACAACTTTGGTGTAAGGAATTCACAAAAAAAACCCGCTATGATTCAAAGATAAAATTCTCCGAAAATGACATCACCAAATACTGGATTTTTTTAAACATGTTTTACAACAGACGATCGGCATTTGAATGGGAACCAGCTGTGTTCTTTTGTTTGCAGTTCCTTTATTCATATGAGTTTTTTTAGGAAGAATGAAACAAAGCTTTATCAATGATGTCCTCTTACTATTGTTTATAATTCGTTTTTGTGTCTTTTTTCACATTATCTATAAATTCGGGGTTTTTTTTTCATCTCTTACCACATTATTTACAAATTCGTTTTTGCATCTCTTATCAAACTATTTATAAATTCGTTTTTGCATCTCTTATTACATTATTTATAAATTCGTTTTTTTTTTTTATCTCTTATCACATTATCTATTCAATCGTTTTTGCATCTCTTAGCTCATTATTTAGAAAATCGCGTTCGCCTCTCTTATCACATTATTATTATTCATAAAATCGTTTTTGTATCTTTATCACATTACTTGATAAATTCGCCTTTGCATCTCTGATCACGCTATTTCTAAATTAGCTTTTGCATTTCTCTTCATAATAAAGATAAAATAGAATCAAACGTGTTTGTCATGCCAGATTTGACCAGTCACTGACCTCGGTATTGACAAACTTTTATTTACAATCTAGCTTCTGAAAAGAGTTTACTTTACTGCAAATCATAAATAATTGGAATAACTTTTTTTTCGCGAAGAAAAATTGTTTGTTTTTCCTCTGAATATAACACCTAATACTAGGCAATTACTGATCAATTAATTGAACTGTTCGCCTTACAGTATCAGTATTTCAAACTTTAAATGCGAGATTGGATGACATGTTAAAGGATTAATTCTGAAGACTGATGTATTACCCGAGAGGCCAGCTCGATATTATCGACTCATTCCTTGTTTGGTTAATTCCTATTTTATTCAAAGCCATCGTATTAACCAATCATCAGCCCGTATATTTCATTTTACCTGTGTTTATTCAAAGTAATCAATTTGTTTTTATTAAAATTTTAGAACTAGAGAAACTTAAGTCTGTTGTGTCTGTCGATATCTTACTCCTACTGATAGCGTTAGAAATACAAGTTTTTGACCATATTGTCAGTGTCGGTGTGACAATGTCCGTGATTCTGATGGCCGGCCGTAAGAGGTTAGATATAAGTAAGCGTGACATGTCCAAAAAGAGGAAAGTTATCAGGTAAGGTTTTTTCACATTTATGTTTCATAGATTTTACTAAATAATTGAATCTGTCAGCGAGCTCGAGGCTGACGTAATCTGAACTTTGCCTTATTTATTATGCCTATCCGAACATACCGAAAGTCAGCGGTTGTCTTTCTTATTTTCCCTAAGTTTTCACGTTATCACATGCAAATCTTTAGGAATAAAAGATGTCAAACTAAATATTTTGAGTAATCATCCCCCTTTTTAGTAAGATACGCATAAATCAATTGTTTCGTTCCACGTATCATGTCTTACTCTATTATTTTAATATTGAAAGGCTAACAAACATATGTATCATCAAAATTCATATTTTGTAATGTTCATGAACAGTTCTCAAAGATTTTGTCATCTTGAAAAAGGGGTTTATTTAACACTAATAAAAACGTCATGAAGTAAAAAAAAAAATTACACTAAATAAGGAATTGGATTCAAAAATAAGTAGTGTTCAAAGAACATTACGTCCGAGCTCCTTTGTTCTACCAGGGGTGATCTGAGGCGGATCATCCCTACCAGATCACCACAGCTTCAGTCTCTTTGTTTTGCATGCTTTCCTTTGTTTTGCAACATTTTGGCGGGAATGCCTAATCCACAATAAAACTTAGAATTATTCTTATAAAGGATAGAATAAAGACACTCTTTTTTCAAAATTTATGTAGAAAAAATCCATTGCCTATGCTGGGGGATTCGAACTCAAGACCTTGAGCATATCAGCCCACGACACATACCCCTACACCAGGACGACTGGATACCAATTCACAGTAATTTAATATATCTAAAGGAAGCAAGATATTTTCATAAGTGGGGCGAGTTGGCAGACCTTTATTCAGTGGGATTTTAACTCTCTTCATAAATAAGGCGAGTTGTCAGACTGATTGTTCAATGGGATTTTACCCTTTTTCATAAGTGGGGAGAGTTGGTAAACAAGAGTGGGGCGATATTTTAGAAAGTGGCGATTTAGTGTGGGCCGATTGGCTTGTGGGGCGAGTTGACATGGTTTCATATTTAAACATCGTGTTCGGGGGTCATAAAGGGTATATATTATATAGTAATATATAAAGTATATTATAATGGTTGTGTGGCGTTCTAAACTAGATTTTATGAATTGTAAATGGTTTTTTGTCTAATGGATGTAAAATAGTTATCCCATTCGGACTTGGTGTCTCAGTGTTAGATCACCCTCTGGCCTCCGGCCATCGGGGTGATCTTACACTGACACACCGCGTCATCATGGGATAACCATTATTTGAAATGTGAAGAGCAATAAACACTGATCACATAGTTAACCATAACAAAAACTCCAACAAAAACATATATTAAACCAAAAACACAAACAATCTAAAACAAACGGAGTGTAAAAACTTAAGAAAAAAGACATAAATATGTACACTTCAACAAACGGATTCCGAACAATAAAATCAGATTATATAGTTTAAACATATTTTATTTGCTTAAATATGCAAAAGGGATGAGACACAAGTTAATCAAACTTATGAATTCTTCTCCCATGAACAATTTATAACAATAGAATTTTTTACAAAGCATGCATGCAAATAATACATTGTATATATTGGATATGTAAAAGATGATGTGTGATGATGTGAATGGTTGTACACAATATACATGTGTATGCACTTTAGTGTGCTGTATTACACAATTAGAAACCTCTTTGACTCTTTAATAAACTCATATACATTCTTTAAAATTCTTTCATTTTCATCATTAGTTAATGACGAATCACCGGAGGTTAAGATGTTCAAATTTAATAGAGAGTTCTCTGGTAACCAGTTCAGATTATTAGATAGTTTGATTCTTATATTCGTATAATTAGGACATTCAAAAAAGAAGTGAAATGAATCTTCACGCTTAGCACCACAGCTACAAGACGGATCTGAAATTATATTAACTCTGTTAAGATCATAATTCAAAAACGAGGCTGAGCATCTAAGTTGAGTCAAAATGATGTTGAGTTTACGATTGCCAAATTTATAATGTTTGGGTACTTGGGCTTTTGAATTCAGTTTAAGATTTTTCAATTCAGTTTTGAATTTACCTAAAGAGTCAATGTTGCGGGTCAGCACATTAAGGTTATTCCACAGTCGTATAGTTGAAGGTATGAAGGATTCTTGGGTCAATGAAAGTCTACAAAAAGGGTATATTATATCATTCCCATTACGTAAGGGGTAAACAGCTGTACTTTGGATTGTTGGTGGAATTAAATTGCAAAGATAGGCTGGTGCATTATTATGTTGAATATTATAAAATAATTGTAACTTCCTCCTTTCTCTTCGTTCAGCTAGAGTTTCCCAACCAATCTCATCATAAATAATTCTACTACTAGTAAAAACAGGAAGACCTGTTACAATTCTGGCTGCCTCAAGCTTATCTCAGATTATATCTTTCAGAACAAAGTACAATAATACAAAGACGGGAAATAAAGTACTAAAATACAATGACGGTAAATAAAGTACCAAACTACAATGACGGGAAATAAAGTACCAAACAATAATGACAGTAAATAAAGTACCAAACTAATATGGCGGGAAATACTGTTACTTCTTTGTCATTTGGTCTCTGGCGGAGAGTTGTCTCATTTGCAATCCTACCACATCTTCTTATTTTACTGTGCTTATTCAGTGGGCTTTGGGGTATCACAATAGACATGTTACGAACAGGTATATACTCGACGCTGAGGTTGACAAATTAGATTTTAAATGTGGGGACTGTGTCATTGATTGTCGATTAAAACCAGTAACATACAATTTGCGTGATGTTAACCAGGTATCATACACACTGCTTGGTTCTTTTTTAATTATATTAATTTAGAATACTCATTTTCTGATATCATTGCTTGTGATTATAGGGCGGGAAATGTGTACGTGTGTGGGAAGGGAGGGGGTTGATGGTAATTCAAGTATGCACTTCTAGATTAAAAAAAAACTAATAATCAGCCAGTTTGATTTTTTTATATTAATTACTGTTCTTCGAACATATCACTCTGTCACTCCATTATACTAAATCTCGTCCTGAAAATGCATGAAATAATTGTCACTTGACGAAAAACAAACAACAATCAAACAACCTTTACTAAACCTGCACAAAGCTCTACAGTCTGGTCCAGTCTGGTTGGTTTTTTTTTAATGTCTCCGTAGGCTTCCACTGACTGAAAGTTTTCAAGCGCCTAAAAGCGTGTTCCATATAATTATTCCCGACATCCGAACGATAATCGCAAGTTCATTTTTTCTGCGGGTCGACAAAGAAATATTTAGTGCATAGATTTCACAAAGAATCGGTATCTAAGCATGTATGTGTGCACTCGTAGCATGAACAGAAAACTCAAAGAGAAAAATGCAGGAATATGTATTTAGGATATCAAACCGGCGAAAAACGAGTCACATTTTACATAGAACCCTTACAAAAGAAATCTCAATTTCAGTTTAAACTTGTTTTCTATTTGTTTTATAAAGACTTCGTTAAAGTTAGAGTTAAGAAGTAAACAAAGAAAAAAAACATGCATTAGAGGATATATGACGGGGAGTAATTTTCGGACTGTTTGAAAAGCGTGTTAAACGGGTAAGACAATTTCAGACCTCAGAAATTACAGTGCGAAATGATTTGAAATTTTGCATGAATATGTATAGGATGTCTTTTTCCAAAGAATCTCATTTCGTTGAGTCGAACCAGTCACATTTAACATGAAAATAATATAAAACATATTATTATATATAAAATAATTTCCTCGGTCTAATAAAGGCTAGAGAGGTCATTGACGTGTCATGTTGGTCATTTGTACAATTTGAAAAATTCACGAAGTTTCAACCTCAGAAAACAAACGGCAAACTATATCCAAAATAAATCCATTAAAGGAGTTGCACATTTTCTATGTATTAATTTTACCTTGTGCAAAGTTTAAAAGCTCCTAGGTTAGGAAAAAAAGTTCTGACCTCGGGTAAACACCCCTTTAAGTTAAATGGTCCGTCGCTATTGATTTCGAAAACGCCAAAAAATAAAATAGCAAGTACATATTGCTTTACTTTATAAGGATTGGCGGGGATTTGTTTCTCTCATCCATTACTCCTTTTTTTCCCGGCTTTCCTTTTCTCTTTTCTTCTAGATTTATATCCTTTCTGCAATACCATTGCCTCCTATCAGTGTTCCAAAAGGAAGATATATTATGGGATTTATCATTTTTATTCCTCACACAGAATACCGTAATTGTTATGGAATATTTGTTCCATAAGGAATATTTATAAAGAAATTGTATAAAAAAAGTTTTCAAATGGACGTTTGTTATAACGAACAAATATACGTGGACATCAGTACTATGCAGTTTAAACAGAAGATTCAATTGATACACAGGTAATTTAAATATTTCAATCGCTTTTGTGTTTTGATACGATACCCACATTTAAAGTCTAATTTGTCAACCTCATCGTCGAGTATACACCATTTCGTAACACTTCTAGTAGCAATGGCTAAAACAGTTTACCAAATTGCAGTTGGAATTCTTCTCCAACAAACTGATCAACTGGTTAAATATTTTTAACAAATTCCTTCAGTGAAGGTTGTTAGTATGAAGTGAGTGCAGTGAAATAAAGAGTAATACATACCATCCAGCTCCAGTTAGTTGTTGCCTATATAATGACTTTTAAATAAATTTTATAAATAAATAGTTCAAAACATTGTTTTGTAGGTCAATAAATTATAGTTCTGTTTTCTAACAGCAAGTTAATGTGTAATTGTAATTTGGATATTTTTTTCTAAAGCAATTACTTTTTCTGCTAATATTAAAGGGAAATAATTTACATTACTGTAAAATCAGCAAAATTTTGTTCTGTCAAATATCAACTTCCTTCATTTTATAAGTAATTTGTTGGAGAATAATTCAAACTGCAATTTGGTAAACTGTTTTAGCCATTGCTATTGTGATACCCCCAAAGCCTACTGAATAAGCACAGTAATACAAAAAACAATGATAA